CTGCGTCCCCTGCATTGGAAGACGGATTCTTAACCACCGGGCCACCAAGTCCCCAAGAATTCTAGACAAACTTGATGATACTTTTGTCCTTGCTTCTATAGGTGAAGGAACAAATATCTGTGTTAACCAATGGCAATCTCAGGATGCCCAACGAGAGTTGAGGCATAAAAGACATCTTCAGAGTTGTCTTATTCTGAATTTGGAGACTTAATTTGGGAAAGGTAAAATCATGATGGTTGCTGGAGAAAAGATTTAAGTCATAAAGACAAGAAATATTTTCCCGGCAATAAACAATGGTTATGAGGGACTTAATTTTTTTCAAAAGTAAGGGATCTTTTCAAAAAACAAGTTGGGAACATTTCAAAAAGCATAAGAGTTAACAATATTTGGGGGACAAAAGGCAATGTCTGTGCATCTTAACATGAAGTAACAGCCACTTTACAGGGAAAAAAAGACCCAAATTTGAATTTTCCTCATTGTGTACATTATTCATGTAACAATTTGCAGTGCAGTATGTTAATATAGCTCTCTATGTGTGTATTTAGGCATACAGGGGTATATGAATATACAAATATATAATAGAGAAATAAAATTTATCATTGTATCAGATAAAACCGTGTGTGTCACATAAAATCTGCCTGCAGGCTTCTATAGCCCACTCTCAATACGGCGCACATCTTCTGGCCAAGGTTAGGATCATAATTTTTTGTATGATTTCCTGACTGTGAGCCCCAGGAGACCAGGGACTGTGTCTGTCTCATTCACTGCTGCGCTCCTAGCACAGGCACAGAGTAGACCCTCAATACTTACTAGAGAATGTGAGCCTCTAAGAGCTATAGAATGTCACAGCAATAGAAGTCAAGAGTTCTCAGGAATGCGAGCCATGCCCCGTGGCCTGGGAGGTGGCAGAAATCTCCTTGTAGAAGACTTAACTTGTTCTGGAACGATTCACTTGACCTGCACCCCTCAGATATGTCAACAGACACAAGAGGCTCCCGCCCTCAGGAAGATGTGACAAGCCTGGCTCGTTTCTTAAATTTAAAAAAAAAAATTTTTTTTTTCTTTTTAAAACCTGGATCTTTACCAGTAGAAGCTTAACTAGGTGTTGCCTTTGGCACTTTCACCCCCAACCCCATACTGAACAACAATAAATGTTTATGCTGAGCCCCTTCTTCTTGGTGACAAATATTCCAGGTGAAGGGGTTCCATCCTCCAGACATCACAGCCATAGGGGAGACTGAAAATAAACAGGTAAACCAACAAAGCAAGTTGATGCTATGAAGGCAATAAAGAGGGCTGGGGGCGGGGCACCATCTATTGATCCTTGGGGAGGTCAGGGAGGTCTTTCTCAGGAAGGGATATTTGAGCCAAGGCCTGAAAGGAGTGAAGGAGTCGTCCGTGCATAAAGCTGCGGGCTGAGGGAACAGCACAGGCAAATTCCCTGAGGCAGGACTGTGTCTGGCAATTGGGAGAAAGGAGGCTGGTGTGGCTGGAGCTGAGAGAGAGTGGGGAAGAGGAGGGAGATGAGATGGGAAGGTGGGGCGAGTCCTGCAGGGCAGTGGGGACCCAAAGAGCAAGGTGTGTGCGCGGGTGGATAGCAATCCAGGAGGAGGGATTCTGAGTCCTTCGATTGCACTTTGGTCAAATTCAATTCCTCTCTGAGCCAGTTTCCCCACCTGGACAGCGCGGAGTGTTTTAACTTCTCTGTCCCTTTCTCCTGCTCCCTCCCACTTCAACTTCGCAGGAGGGAGGCAGAGAATGTGTACTAGGAGAGCGTCTTCAAAGCACAAAGCGATGGCGAAGGGCCTGAGTCTTCCTCAGGCGAAGCGCGTCTACTCACCACTCGCAGACCGCAGGTTCTGGCGCGCCCTGGCGGCCAAGCAACTCCTGACTGACGCCGCCAGACCCACATGTGAAACCGAGGACTCCATTTTTCATCTGGGCAACGGCCATCTTTGTAGAGACAATGGTCCAGATTGTAGTTTCTGCTCTCCTCTCCTGACTAGCTAACATATGAAGTGAGCGCAAGGGATGAGGGTTTATAAAATATTCTCTTCTTGAAGACAAAAAGAAACGGCTAACGCCCTTGGCTTGGAGACCAAAGCAGCATCTCCTCTACCAAGATGGCGACGGAGCCGAGACGTAATCAGCACGCGTCCCCCTGGGGCCCAGCGCGCAAGCCCTGCGGTGACGTCACGGAGGTGCGACCGGGCCGGCGCCGGGGGAAGGAGGTAGGAGCGGTAGCAGCGCGGGCGGAGCCGGGGGGCGGGGTGCGGGTGGGCCCAGCGGGGCTGCTGGGCCTGGGACCACCTCCCCGGGAGGGCTGGAGATGGGGTGCTCGGAGACGGAGGCGCTTTTGACCACCGTCTCCAGGGCTCCCGCAGGGGCTATGCCCATTTCCCGGAGCGGACGATTGAGACCCAGAGGGACAGCGTCGTGCTCGAGGCCACCTATCTCCGGTCCTGCTCCTGGGCAGCTTACAGGCCTGGGGGTGACAGAGCTGGGTACGGACGTCCCTGGCCTCTTGCAATGGGATCAGGGCTGGGGAGAGGGACGACGGGCTGGGGGAGCCTAGAAGGGGTAGCGGGAGGACTTCTTGGAGGAGGCAGCGTTGAGTTTCATCTTTTATTCTCTTTCTTACTTTCACATCCAATCAACCACGAAGGTCTTGATTCCCCCCTAAGTGTACCCACTGCTTAGCCAAAGCCACTCCTTAGACCCCCTGTTTGAGCTCCGTGCTTCTGTCTCAATCCTCCAGTTCACCTCCTTACCAACCCCAGAGGGCTCTGACGCCCTGTGCACCTTCCCATACCCTGGAATACAAATCCCCTTCCCAGCCTGCCTCCCCCACACCCCTGGGGGCTTGGATCTCCCCACTCCCTTAAGTCTTTCCTTTGATGTCTCCTCCAGGAAGCCCTTTGACACCCCCTCCCCATCCCTCCCCAGGCTGGGTCAGAAGCCCCCTCCCGACTTCCTCAGTGTCCATATGGCCCCATTACAGCTCTGATCTGGAGTTACCACTCTTATTGTCTATCTCCCAACAAGCCTGGGAGTCCCATTCTGTCAGGAAGCCCATCAGCACTGCCTCTTTCCCCAGCATCCCACACATACTAGGTGTACAGTGCGTGTTTACTGAATGACAAAGTGTCTGTGTGTGAGTGTTTATCAAACAGAGGAGAAAAGCTGTCTGTATTAGCTCTGGCTGCCATAACAAAATACCACTGACTGGGTGGCTTAAACAACAGATTTATTTGCTCACAATTGTGGAGGCTGGGAAGTCTAAGATCAGGGTGCCAGCCAGTTTGGTTCCAGATGCAGGCTTTCCTCCAGACTTGCAGATGCGCACCTTCTCACTGTGTCCTCACATAGTGGAGAGAGCAAGCTCTGGTGACTTTTTCTCTTCTTATAGGGACAGCAGCTCTACTAGATTAGGGCTCCACTCTTAAGACCTCATTTAACCTTTATCACCTCCTCACCGGCCCTGTCTCTCTCTCTTTTTTTTTTTAAAGGATAAGGTACCATTTTTTTTAATTAGTTAATTTATATTTTGGCTGCATTGGGTCTTTGTTGCTGTGCGTGAGCTTTCTCTAGTTGTGGCGAGCGGGGGCTACTGTTCGTTGCGGTGTGCGGGCTTCTCATTGTGGTGGCCTCTTGTTGTGGAGCACAGGCATTAGGCGCACAGGCTTCAGTAGTTGTGGTGCGCGGGCTCAGTAGTTGTGGCTCGCGGGCTCTAGAGCACAGGTTCAGTAGCTGTGGTGCACAGGCTTAGTTGCTCTGCAGCATCTAAGAGGGATCTTCCCGGACCAGGGATCGAACCCGTGTCCCCGCATTGGCAGGCGGATTCTTAACCACTGCGCCACCAGGGAAGTCCCAGCCCTGTCTCTAAATACAGTCATATTGAGGGTTAGGGCTTCGACATATAAATTTTGGAGGGACATAAATATTCAGTCCTGGCCTGAAGAGGGGGTCAGAAAAGCCCTGTCAGGCTTTGGGATGGAATTGGGGGTCTTAAGCAACACGAGGAGGAGGAGATGCTGGGGCTGAGTCTCTGTGAGTGGGCAGGTTTTCACAGGAAGAAGGGACAGAGGAGGGTGTGTCGGGTGAAGGCATAGCAAGAGCAAAGGCTCAGAGGCTGGAGAGGGAAGTGAGTGGGAAGAGAAGTGAGAAGCTGAGTTTGGACACAACACAGAGTGTGAAGTAAATACTGAGGGAACCCTGGAAATAGATGCTTGTTCATTCATTTGCGCAAAACATTTTTTGAGCCCCTACTCTGCAGGGCACTGACTGAAGCAGTCCCAGCCCTGCCCTCATAGAGCTCCCAGCCTGGTGGGGAAGATGGACATTTGTCAAATAATCCTGTAAATGAACATAGATAGCAACCTAAACAAGTACCTCAGAGAGAAGTTTATGGTCTGAGAGTCAGGGGGTGTGTCAGGGAAGGCTTCCTGGAGGTGGCAACACCTGAGCTGAGCCCTGAAGTTTAAATAGGAATTAACTGGGTAAAAAGAGGAGCAAAAGTGGTGGGCAGGGCAAGTGCAAAGGCCCTGAGGTGGGAACATGCATTGTAGGCTTGAAAAAAGGCAAGGAGGTTGGTGTGGCTGCTGCTGAGAGAGTGAGGGGGAGATGGAGGGAGAGGTGGCATGTGGGGAGTTTCCTCACCTGACACTTAGACTGTGACCCCCACCCACTTCTTAGTGCTCTTCTGGGGAATCCAGGTGAGGTTTTCTGTTGGGTACATTGTAGATGCTCAGTAATGACTGCTTGATTCAGGGGGCCCAGGAGCAGCTGGGAGAAGTACAGGATCAGGCTGGCGTATCCAGCCCTGCCATGGCAGCTCTTGCATCCTGTGCAGGGAGGGACTGGAATCAACCCTACTTCTCAGATGATGGGAGCCCCCTCCCCCATAAGCCACACAGCTAGGAGGTTGGTGGTGGGGGGTTGCCTGGTGGTCCTGAGTCAGGATGGCCCCCACATTCCTTCCCCATCATTCTCGATGCTGGGCCTACTTCTCCAAGGTTCAGCAAGGGACTGAGCTGGAGATTCTCAGTGGGGAGAGGACAAGCAGGAGTGATGGACATCAGCCCATTTCCCAGATGAGGAAAACTGAGGCCTGGAGAGCTGAAGGCTTGCCCTGACCACACAGTGCTTGTGTCCTCAGTCAGCACTCTGGAGGTGGGGTGATCTTAATTTCTTGTCTTCCCTTCCTCACCTGAAAGGCAGGCTTTAGAGGTGAGACTCCAGGCTCAGCCCTGTGCAACTTAGCCAGATACCTTGACTTCCCCACCTTCGAAAGGGAATAAGGACAGTCCCTGTGTTTAAGGCTTTGAGAGCATTCAATGTAGTTGGGCCATATAAAATGCTTAGTAGGGGACTGGGTGTGGGGAGGGTGGCACCTCCCATTTGGTGTCATCATTTCCCCAGCACCCAGTATGGGACTCACACAGACCAGCTGGACAACAGCTTTACGATTGTTCTAAAATCTCCTGGCTGTGTGAGCCTGGGCTGGATCACTGGGAACAGTTCATGGCAGCTGCTTACCCAGGGCAAGGGGGATTCGGCCTCAGGGCTGTGGGGCCGGGACACTGAGGCCTCATAGCCGGCAGAGTGGGAGGGTCCACACACAGACTGGCCCGCAGGGATCTAGAGCAACATGACTTGTAAGAGCTGAAAAGTAGAAACAACCCACGTGTCCATCGTGGACAGATGGATAAACAAAATGTGGCCCATCCGTACAATGGAATATTAGTCAGACATAAAAAGGAATGAAGCTCTGACAGATGTTCAAACATGGATGAACCTCGAAAACATGATGCTGAGTGAAAGAAGTCCAGAATAGGGAAATCAATAGAGACAGAAATTAGATGAGTGGTTGCTGGGGGAGGGAGGTGGGGGAGGGGCTGCTCATGGGGCCGGGTCTCCTCTGGGGGTGATGGAAACGTTCTGGAGCTAGATAGAGGGGACGGTTGCACAACATTGTGAATGTGCTAAATGCCACTGAACTGTGCACTTTAAGATGGTTCATTTTGTATTATGTAAAATTCACCTCAGTAGATTTTTTTTTTTAAAGAGAGATTAATAAATCCAAAGCCCTTGTTTTATAGACAGAGCTACTGAGGCCCCAAGGGGGTCGTAGCTGCACAGGTGTGAGTCTGGGGCTGCCGAGGGTGGATGCCCCAGAGTCACTGGTCCCTGCCCTCCACTCACAGCGTTCTGAGGGATGCCCAAGAAGTTCCAGGGCGAGAACACTAAATCGGCAGCGGCCCGGGCACGGAGGGCTGAGGCCAAGGCAGCAGCTGATGCCAAGAAGCAGAAGGAGTTGGAGGATGCCTACTGGAAGGATGAGGACAAACACGTCATGAGGAAGGAGCAGCGCAAGGTGGGTGGGCCCTGGGCTCCCACGCCCCACCCATGGGCAAGGTGGGCGGTCAACACAGTAGAAGGCGGTGAGAGGCCCCTGGGTCTTTGGCCTGAAGGGTGAGGAGTCATTGGACATGGAGCAAGAGCAAGAAGGGAGACAGAAACAGAGGCAAAGTCTCGTGCAAAAGCCCTGGGGTGGCCAGGACTTGGCACGTTTAGGAAATGGCAAGCCCTCCACGAGCTTGTCTCTCTCCTTCGTGTGATGCCAGGGCTGGTCTAGACTGGCACAACCTCACTCTGGAGCGATTCCGCACCCAGGGGACACTTGGCAACATCTGGAGACATTTTTGGTTGTCACAACTGGCAGCCGGAGGGTGCTACTGGCATCTGGTGGGCAGAGGCCCAGGATACTGCTCAACACCTGGCAGCGCACAGGATGGCCCCACAGCAGAGTGAGCCAGCCTGACGTCAGCAGTGCCGAGGCTGACACATGCTGATAGATCCTGTTTCAGACCTGCTGACCTGGGGCCTGGAGGCATTTCCAGGTGTTTATAAGAACACAAAAGAGGGCCAGGATGGTTGGCCGTCTCCTGCGGGGGCCCGCAGTGCCACACACACAGTGAGTGGGGGCTTAATTGGTGTCTGGAGTGGTTCAGGGCTGATGCTGACCCTCTTGGCCCAGTAGGTGGCACCAGAAACCATTCTTAGCCTCTTCTAGCCCCCTGGGCTGGTGATAGGCTCCAGCTGGGACTGTTAAAGGTTCTGGAATAGCAGTGGTGACACACCGTCCCTGCATGCCCAGTTCAGGGGGCGCCTGGGCACTTTTGTGAGTTTTTCCCATTGTCTTTCTGTGCAGGGCTGGATCCTGCCTTGTTTTTAGTTGGAATTGAATATCACTGGTTCCCTCCTCTCAGCGCCCTCAGTGTTGCACTGGGTCCATGGAGGTCTTTAAATTTCCTTTTTGACTGTCAACATTTTGACAATATAGGAAAGTTGAAAACCCCAAAGGAAAACTAATGTCTGCCAAGGATCCATTATCTAGACAGAAAAGCCAGAGACCTTTCCACGGTCCGGGAGTGGCAGCAGCCCAGCCCAGGGCCCCAGGAGCCCTCCCCAGGCCTGCATCTTGGGCCTCGGTGTCATCTCCATCCTCTAAATGAGGAAACTGAGGCACAGACAAGACAGGAAGTCCAGGTCACAGGGCTGTGAGGAGGGGCTGGAGCCGGGCTGGAGCCAGGCTGGCGCTAGCTGAAGCCAGGGATCTGCCTTCTGGTTTGTGATGAGGTTTGACTAATAGCCTTGCAAGCGTCCATGCCCCAGGGGTGTGGCCCAGGGAGCATTTGCCTGTCCACTCCCCTGTGTAGCACACACCTGGAAGAACGCACAGGGCAGAGGTCCGACAGGCAATAGGGGCCAGACAGGCTCTCAAAGCTACTCGACCCTGTCGCTGTAGCACAAAGCCGCCGTATGCAAATAGGCTAAAACTTTACCAAAACAGGTGGAGGGCCAGAGTTTGCCAACCCCTGCTCTCTAGAACATTCCCAGCCCCCATGCCCCTCCCAGGCAGTCCCCCCGCCTGAGTGTTTTCCTTTTTTTTTTTTCGGCCGTGCTGCAGGGATTGAACCTGGGCCACAGCAGTGAAAGCGCCAAATCCTAACCACTAGACCACCAGGGCCCCCCCGCCCCCCCACCGAGTGTCTTACCTGGAGCCATTGATGGTTCTCCTTCCCCATGGGGTGGTTTTCTGGGTTTTGTTTATCCCTCTTCCTGCTGATGGGTGAGGGGGGCCCACAGTCTACACAGCACACCCGGTCCCTCTTTCTTTCCTTACGTGACAGCTGCTTTAAAAAGATACTGTTTTTATGAAAAAGAAACAAATCCACGTTTGTTCCAAAACACTAAAAGAAAACGAGCATCTCCCGCCCATGTGACACCAAAGGCTCTTCTCACCCAATGCCATACCCTAAAGGCCATGCCCTCCGTTAAATGGGGTCACACAGCCAGATTTCTGCCAGCCGCCAGCCATCAGCCTTGGGCTGGGCCGTAATTCATCGCCCCGCCCAGAGGTTGGCATTTCGTTTCCATTTGTTCCATATTAAGCAACTCGGCAATGAGCACCTGACTCTCTGGGTTCCATCTCAGTTACTTATGAGGCTCATTCTTGATGGCTGCAGAATATTCTGCCGCAGCCTCATCCTTCACCCATCACCAGATGCTGCCAATTGCTAACTGGCCTTTATAAAAAACTGCGAGCGTCTTTTTCAAAAAAGTCTGCCGAACGTCAAAGTATAACCGCTCATGTTCCCGCCTCAGTCCCATGTCTCTAGAGACTAATGGCCCCATTCTGCATGTCCTTCCTGAGATTGGAGCCTTCTGGAATTCATTCACTCATTCATCCAGCACACTACTTAAGCACCTACTGTGTGCTGGGCCAGGGCCTGCCTCCTGCCTCAGGGACTAACCAGATAACCGGAAGACTAGAAAACAGGGCTTTGTGGAACACAGGAAAGAGCCATGTGGTAGAGCAGAAGGACAGAGAGCCAGGAGCTCAGGATGAGCCAGAGTTAATCAGGAAAGGAAGCTGGCAGTGGTGCTCCAGCAGGGCAGAACAGCTAGTGCAAAGGCCCTGAGGCAAGGCCGTGCTGTGGACAGGGTGAATGTGGGCTGTACACGCACCATGCAGTGGTCGGGGAGCCTCAGGAGGACATTACCTCTGACCGATGGGGAAACTGAGACTCAGAGCACGATGGCCCTACCCCAGGTGTCTGACCACAGACATGGGATCCTCGCAGCTGTGCCCAAACAGCCTTGATCTTTAACCACCACCCTCCCCGTCCCCCCCCCCCCCCCCCCCCCCCCGGCTTTTTTCCTATCAGGCAGGCAGGTTGGAGGTCAGAGGCCCAGTACGTGTCCTCAGGAACCTCTTTTTCTGGGGCAGTTAGCCCTGTCACGGGGGACACTGCAGCTGTAGGGACTGTCCCTGAGGCCTGGCGGACAGATGGCAGAGTTGCAGGCAGTGAGTGGGCAGGTGGGAGTGCCTGCAGTGCAGGGCCCTTTGGGAGTGCTGGGCGGGAGGCGGCAGAATATTCCAAGCCTACGGCCACACAGCCACACTGCACTACAAAGGAACCAGAACCTCGCTCTGTCCCTGTAGTAGTGGAGGGGCAGCGACCAAGGACAAGTCCTACAGGCCACATGTCCCCTCGACCAGCTGGCATCCAGGCCTCCCTGGGGAGCCAGGGTGGGATCAGTCCCAGCCCCTGTGACGCTCAGCTGGGAACACTTCGATGGTGCCTCCCAAGGGCTCCTGGCTATAAAGCCAGAAGCGCTGTCCCAGATGGCAAATGGGTCCAGACCCCAGTGGCTCCTGTCACCTTTGGAATCCAGTACAAACCCCTCCCCATGCCCTTGAGGCTCCCCATGGTACCACTTCTGCCCTCCCCACGTCTTCGTCCTCCACACTTCCCCTCCTCCCTCCAGCCACACCAGCCTCTGTGCTGTTCCTCTGTCATTCTAGGTGGTTCCTGCCTCAGGACCTTTGCACCCACCATTCCCACCACTAAGGACTCTCCTCTTCCCCAGCTCTTTTCCTGGCTGGCTCCTCCTCCAGCCCAGGTGTCACTTTTTCTTCAGGAGCCACCCACCCACTGCCTTGGCCAAGGTTCCCTGTTGTTCCCTAGTCATATAGGATGGGAGCCCCCAGGTAGGCTCATCGTGCTCCCATCCGTGTCCCCTACGCCCACCATGGGGTCTAGCACACAGCAAGGCCTCCATCCACACTGGTTGAGATGGAAACTGGACCCCATGCCAGTGGGACGGGGTCCACTCCTGACTCCCAATCCCCCAGGAGGAGAAGGAGAAGCGGCGCCTGGAGCAGCTGGAGCGCAAGAAGGAGGCACAGCGGCTGCTGGAGGAGGAGGACTCAAGGCTTAAGGGCATCAAGGCCCCGCGAGTGGCCACCTCCAGCAAGGTCACCCGCGCCCAGATTGAGGAGACACTCCGCCGAGACTATCAGCACAAGGAAGCCCCGGACCCAGGTGAGGGCCTCGGCCCACTCTGGAGCTGCCCTTTTACCTGATAAACAGTAGGCAGTGGGCCTACCCCCTGGACTGAGTCCAGACCCCACTCCCCACCTCCAGAGAAGCTGCCTGGGCTCTGCAAGGTGAAGGGTGGGTGGGCGGTGTCTCGGCAGGCCTGGCTCTGAGCACGGACGCCATAGGCACACAGGTGTGTAATTACTCTGCACCTGACCCTGGCCTGTGCTCCCCGGGGTCCCCACAGCTGATGTGGTGCCCCGAGGTGAGGAGACAGCAGCCACGTATGAGGTGCCTCCTGAGTGGTGGGCTGCCGGGAAGTTAGTTTGGGGACTGGGCGGGCAAGACTGGCCCATCGCGAAGGTAGGACTGGGCGGGGAGCTCAAGTTGCGTTTCCATTCTCCGGCATCCTTCTCTGCCTGCCTGCCTCCCTCCCTTTCTCCCCTACTTCTTCCCCTATGGTGTCTCTCATCTCCATGGAACTCTGCGTCTCTGCTTATTTCTCTCTGTTTCTGGTATGTCTCTGTCCCCCGGTCGCTACCGCCCCCAGCCGAGAAAGCCAAGAGCCACTTGGAAGTGCCGTTGGAGGAGAATGTGAACCGCCGCTTGCTGGAGGAGGGCAGCGTGGAGGCGCGCACCATCGAGGATGCCATCGCAGTGCTCAGGTACGGGGCAGGGCCTAGGTCTTTGGGGTGGGGCTTGGGGCCCAGAGGGGAGCTTGAGACTCTGGGGGCGGGGCGGGCCACGCCCCAGCCCCCGTTGACGCCTGCGCCTTTACCAGCGTGGCGGAGGAGGCGGCAGACAGACACCCTGAGCGCAGAATGCGGGCGGCATTCACTGCCTTCGAGGAGGCGCAGCTGCCGCGGCTCAAGCAAGAAAACCCCAACATGCGGCTGTCACAGCTGAAGCAGATGCTCAAGAAGGAGTGGCTGCGTTCGCCGGACAACCCCATGAATCAGCGCGCCGTGCCCTTCAACACCCCCAAGTGAGCCTGGAACTGCGGGAGACGCCCCGTGGCGGCCAGGGTCACGACCCCACACGCCCTTCCGCTGGGTCAGCTCCGAGGGTTACAGAGATGTCTGGGGGCCACGGCGCGTGTCCTGGGGGCCAGGAGGCATCACTGGCCACACCTCCCGCCCGAGGGTCCCTGCTCCAGTGACACCCCTCGCCCTTCCCGCACGCGCCAGTGCCCTGGGGCTGAGTGCCCAATAAAGGCAGTCGGTGAGGCAGAGTGTGCACTTGAAGTCTACGTGACTGGGTGGGTGGTGGGAAAGAAGGGCTGGAATGAGGTGGAATGCACAGGCCACAGCCAGAGAAGACAGGGGCCCCCAACCGCGCTCCTGTCCTAGCAGGCTAGCTGAGCCCGGCTGCGCCAGTTATTCAGTGAGAGATCTGTACCATCATCCCCTGGAAGCCTTGCTAGGGGTAGCACAGAGAGGTTAAGGCACTGGCTCCAGGTCACACAGCACTTCAGAGGCAGAACCAGAGGAGAGCTGGAGGCGAGTTGTTGGCACCCTGAGATTCTGGTTCAGAGTCAGCAGCCAGGTCACATACTGTGCTTGGGGTCAGGAGATGCAGGCTGTTCTGTTATTCCAACACGGGAGGCATTTGGAATAACAGGGCAGGCTTCCTGATGGAGGATTTCTTTAGAGCAGGCCTTAGTGGAAGATGAGTCAGTTTCCGTCGCAGAGGCAGGGCACTGGGCAGGCGGATCCGGGTAGAAAGGAGTATCCCATCGGAGGCCGAATATCTGGGAAGGGCTGGGTGAGAGCTCAACTTAGTTCTGGCTTCCTACAGCTTAGTTGGCCTCAGGGAGTCAGTAGGGAGGAAGGGTAGCTGGGAGATGGGCCCAAGTGTCTGGGGCGGGGTCCACGCATTTACCAGGTCACTGCTATGGGCTCCCATCCAAGTGACACCCTCCCTGCACTCACAAGCCTGCCCCTGCACCTCTGGCCCCTATCCCCCTCACTCTCCACCAGCCCCCCAGCTCTGTCCCCACTATCTCCTTGTTCCCAACTTCTCCAACACAGCAGACTTGTTCCTCTCAGGCCTATGCCAAGAACTCTGTCCTCCCAGGTGTCAAGTCTCGGATGCAGATCCTCACAGATGTCCCCAACTCTGTGGGATCACGGCTGAGCCTAAGGGAGCCAGGCTCTGCCCAGAAGTAGGGAGGTAAAAGTCTTCATGGAGGGAGGGCCTTGAAGGATGGGAGTTTTCCACACAGACAAGGGACAGAAAAGGCTGAAGGAACCACACATGCAAAGGCCTGGAGGTCACAACTCCTGTTCAAGGGCGGGCGGGGGGGCGTGCCATTAATAATTGGGTACAGCTGAAGTGCAGTATGGCAGGTACCTGAAACAATGGTAGCTGACATAAAAACCAACATATATATATATATATATATATATTTTTTTTTTTTTTTTTTCGGTACGTGGGCCCCTCAATGTCGTGGCCTCTACCGCTGTGGAGCACAGGCTCCGGACACGCAGGCTTCGCGGCCATGGCTCACAGGCCCAGCCGCTCCGCGGCATGTGGGATCTTCCTACACCGGGGCACGAACCCACGTCCCCTGCATCAGCAGGCGGACTCTCAACCACTGCGCCACCAGGGAAGCCCGAACCAACATATATTGAGCGCTGGCTTAGTTTGGGGATTTCCCCAGGAACCAACTCTGAGACAAGGACTAGGGGGCATGTGAGGGATCTAGGATGGACCCCAGGAAGACCCCGTGGAGGTTGAGGGAAGTGAGACAGACAGAAGGAGCCCTACAGGGGGTGCCAACGAGCTGAATCCTCCCCAGAGAGGACTGTGAGAAGAATCCACTGTGAGATGCTGTGAGAAGAATCCACTGGATGCTGGGCCCTGGCCTAGCACATGGTAATGTCATTTAACGGAGCCCCGGGGACAGCCCTGTGTTATATTGATCTTCTTTCTAGATGGGAAAACTAAGTCATCTGCCAGTGTCACATAGCCAGGAAGCACCCAGGCTGTTGGTGAGCCAGCGGGGTGGAGGTGGGGCCCGGAATTGGGGCTTGAGGTGTCAGCCGAATAACGGGTGGAGGAGCCCAGATGGCTCCCCACAAGTGGAGCCATTTGAGCTCCCCCTCTTACCTCTGGGGGCCTTAGGCCAGGGCCTTAATGGGTCTGAGCCTGTTTCTGCCTATATAAAACAGGACTGAAATAGTATCTAATCCTAGGCCATCTCGAGAATCAACGAGATGGTACCTAGGAAGGGCAGATACTGAAGAAGAGCTTGGCAAAGGAACCTCCTGCATGGCCACGTTGGGGTATTTGTGGCCGGCGATTAGGGAAGATCGGGGACCAATGGTGATTAACTGGAGGGAAGAAGCCAGCGGAGCGTGCACGGCCTTGGACACCACGCTGAAGAATGGGGCGATGAATGGGACTTCGCCCCAGGGCGACGGGGAGCCATGGCAGGTGTGTGAGCAGAGAGTAGGAAGAGCACCGGAGCTGCGCGTGGCAAGCTCTGCTGGGGACTTGTAGGGGGACGGCTGGTAGGCCAGAGAATGAAGGTAAAACTTAGGACAGCTGCTGAGAGGGCCGCCTTCATTCCTCACACATAAAGACGACGGTAATAACGACTGTTCTGTTTCAAAGAAAATCCTCTTCTGTCGCTTTCTGGCCTCATCCCCGCGGAATCCCAGGCTCGCGCATGCGTGCAGGCAGCAGGGAATCCCCGGCTTCGCCGCAGTGCGCGGGAGGGGGCGTGAGACGGGAGTTCCGTGCGCTCCCAGTCCTCCTCGCGCGCGTTGCCTTGACGACCAGGCGGCGCCACGGGGACGCCGGACACTCACTGCGCCTGCGCGGGGGTTGTCTCAAAGGCGCCAGGGCTTTCCCGTCGTGCGCGAGTCGGGGCGGGAAAGCCGCGCCCGGCACGCATGCGTGGACCCTCGCCCGACCCCCGCCCTGTGGGCCAGGGAATCCTCACCTGCCGCAGTGCGCACTGGGGGCGGGGCGGGGAAACTGGATCAAACTGGAGTGGGTTTCGCTGAGGCTTGGGTTGGGGAGGGAGCGAGCGCGGGGTCTTCCCCAGGTTCCCGCTCCGGCCCTCGCCGTCGCCTTGGCAACCGGGCGCGCCCGCCGCAGTGCGGGGGCGGCGGCAGCCTCGGGGAAGCCGGGCGGCTCTGCGCCTGCGTGGGGCTCCGCGCCTGCGGCTGGGGTTTCCCTTCGTGCGCCTGAGGGATCGATGGTGGGGGCGGTGTGTGGGGAGGACTGGAGAAGGTGGGCGCTAGGGAAGGGGGTGAGCGTGGAGGGAGGGGCTGTGGGATAGGGGAGGATTGTGGTGGAAAGAGGAGGCGGAGTGGGTGCCCAAGAAGGTAGGGGGAAAAGGGAAAGTGTGGGGGTGGTGGGGAGAGGGGTACCGGAGGAGATCGGAGGAGGGGGTGATGAGGGAGAGAGTCGAAGGAGGGGGACAATAGAGGAAAAGGAAGGAACGGAGGAGGAAGTTGGGGAGCAGTTAAAGGACACGGACAGTATGAGGGAAACAAAGAGAAGCTTATTGAAGGGAACACGGTGGGGTGTAGAGGTGACTGGGGGAGAGGACGGACACCTTCAGGACAAAGCAAACCCCAGGTTTGCTGAGCCAGGATATCCAAGTCTAAGATTTCCAGATTTAGAAAAAAAAAAAGGTACAGGACACACCAGTTAAACTTGACTTTCAGTTAAGCAATGAATAATTTTTAAGTATGTCTCATTCCGTGCACTGTTTTTACTGGCAGCCCTAATCTTGGTCGGACCACTTCCCTCTCCTCACTGCCGTCCCCCGCCCCCCCCCCCAACAGCCTGTCCCTTGAGCCTTTTTGAAAGCCACTGAGACCTCTCAGATGATGCCTTTGTCTCTCACCTCCCTGGTGCCCCACAGCCCTGCATACTGGTGCCCTCCCATGCCATCTCCCATCCTCCTGGCTTCGAACACCACCTTGAGGTGGAGTCCTGGCCAGGCAGTGAAATGCTCAAAGGCACGTCTCCCACAGCACCTTCAGGTCCTCCTGCGGGCACTAGTGCTCTCTCTCTCTCTCTCTCTCTCTCCCCCCCCCCCCCCCCCCCCCATAGCCCCTCCAAACCCTCTGCCTTGGGGCCTGGCCCTGCTGAGGTGACATAATGTCTCCGCCCATGCCAGCTGCCATCACCGCCTTCTCTCTGAACTTCCTGGGCTCCTTACTCTCAGCCTGTGACCCAAGAAGCTCCTACTCCAGACTCCCCCTCAATCTCTGGGCGCATAAGCATATAGTAGATACTCGGAAAAACATTGGAGGGTAATTTTATAGAGGCAAGTACTGGGGGGAGTACTTGATTTTTCAACGCAGACAGCTGCATTTTCCATCCCTTAGGGCCACACACCCTCTCCGAGCTTTTGTACCCTCCAGCAGCAAAGCAATTTTCCTTTTATCCTCCCCTTTGGTTTCAAAAAGTATAAGACCATAAAACATTATGGGAAAGCTAATAACGGGGAAAGGTCAGCCCCTGAGAGCCCCTGGAGCTGGGCTGCCCCTCACTGCCTCCCCCTCTCCCCACTTCTCATCTTTGCTCTTCATATTTATTTCCCACCGCACCTCCCGCCTGGCTTCTGCTTAACAGGCCAGAAACTCGGCCCCATGGATCATTTTTCCCAGGGGCATGTTATTCTGATAATGGGCTAAGCAGTCCTCAGATGGGGAACATTTGAGCCCCTGATTGTGCTTTTAGTTTCAATGTCCTAGGCGGTGCCCCTGCAGAATCAGGCCCTGCATCTTTTGTGCCATGTCCTAGGGGTGCTTTCTGGGGCAGCTCACTGGACAGAGGGTGATGCCATCCCTTTATTTGAAGCTGGGTAGCTCCTGGGGTGGTGCTGGATCAGAGCTGGCCCCCTCCTCTCATCAGCCAGGCCCAAGTTGCACCGGGGGCCCCCATTCCCCTGGGGGAAACAGAAGGTGAATAAGTGAACAGACCCGCTCCCACCAGGAATGAGGACAGTAACCTAGGATGATGTTGCCAGATAAGGAACGACTCTAGGCAGGAGGTGACATTGGACCGGGCTTCTGAAAGACAATAAGAGGTGAGGAGAGCCAGGAAAGGGTGATCCTGGAAGAAGGAACAGCAGATGCAAACGCCCCCGAGGCTGGACAGGGTGACAGCTGAAAGGCTGGGGTAAAGGGCCCCCACGTGGGGGCTGGACCACGTGGCCTTTTCAGGAGCGGGCTGAGTCAGGATCCTCCTCTTGGTTCAAGCAGGAGATTGCCTGTAATGTGGGGCAGGACATGACCAGTCAGTCACATGGGTGAGGATGGAATTCTGTGGCTGCATCACAGAGAAGGGACTGTGGGGAGACACTGGGGACACATGAGCTGCGGGACTGGGAGGGGACGTTCTGGGGGACCCACGGGGCAATTGTGGGTGTTCAAGGGCGGGGGACACCCCAAATGATGCGTGCCCTGCCACCACTGGCTCGCGACTCTCCCTCACACGGGCCTCAGCATCCCACCAAGGGCTGGAAGCCACCCCCAGGGAGGTGTTGGGTGAGGCCCCTCCTCTGTCGAGTCCCCGCTGTTCCCGCAGCCCTCCCCCTCTCTGCCTCCACAATGCAGACCCCAGAGGGCCCCTGCCGCTTTGTTCTCTTTCCCTCCACACATGGTCACGGTCACGCTGGCGGCTCCCTCTGAACGCGGCTTACACACATAATGGGAGGGGGGAAAAAGCGTTCCCAGTCGCCCCCGCATCCGCCCCGCGGTCCGCCTCCCCCAGCCCAGCCCGCACCGCGGAATCCCCGCCTCAGGACCCCGCCCGGGAGAGCATTACCTTTCACGAGATGCCAGGGGTGGGGAAGGGGGAGGGCTATTTTTAGAATGAATGGAAGAAAAGAGGGGAAAACAACAACAACAAAAAAAAGGATGGAGGCTTGTAGAAGCCTTCTGGCTCCCAAGAGGAAAGCCCCCTCACCCCAGGCCAAGGCAGAAGGGGGTGGGGGCTGTTTCAGAGACGGGGCGGGCGGAACAACGGGGGCAGAAGGCGAAGAGGGAGAAGACAGTGGTCTGAGAGGGCGCCGCGCTTCCTCGAGGTAAGGGGGAGAGCTGGAGGAGACCAGGAAGACGTAGCCGGCAGCCCTACAGACTCCCGAGAGCTGTAGGGACCCCAGAGGTGGGCGCTGTCCAATCCAGAGACTCCGAGAAATAGACTCGGAGAGGGGCCTGGGCAGAGCCAAGGTCACTGGAGGGCTGAGCCCTAGACTCAGTGTCCCATCCCCTAGTGACCCAGACCTCGGGAGCCGCGTTGTTCTAATTTGGCAGAGTGACCTTCACAAACCCTGCGATCCAGGCCTCTGCGGTTCATGTTCGGTGGGGTCCCGGAATCGTGCGGGAAGAGGGCGAATATCAGGATATCACTATGCAACAATAACACGGAGAAGTTTTCTGTGGTTTGTTTTCTGACCACCCCGGGTCCCTCCTCCCTCACTGGGACCTTCCAGTCCGGGCAATATCACCAGCTGCTCGAAACCCCCGGGTTCCCCCTGTAACTCCAGGCCCACTCAGGGTATGTGTGTGGGGGGAGGTTAATTGCCTTCTTCTGTCTCCCTGGCCTCTGCTCCTTCCCCGGACCCCGGGAGAGGCCCCCAGAGTGAGGGGGCAGCCGTATTCTGTGCTGCTGGGTCTCTGGGCCTTGGCCAGAGGCTCCCCCAGTCTGGGTCTCAGTTTCCCCATCTATGAAATGAGCGCCGCGGGGTAGCGGCGGCAGAGGGTCCTCCCGGCTCTTTGAGCATCCTAGGAGATTTGCTGGCACGCCCCTGCGAGGAGGGGGCTTGCGCGAGACCAGAACGGGGATTCCCGCCCCCCACTTCTAGAGCAGCGTGGCGGGGGAGGGGGTCGCGCGGTGGCAGCCTCCGGCTGCCTCTCCCTCTGCGCGGTCGGCGCCCCCTCCCCGGGCGGCAGGGCGGGGCCCAGAACGGCGGGGAGGGGGTCAGCTCTGCGGCGGCGCGCGCACACCCTCCCGGCTCACACGCCCTTGCCCGGCGGTGCACTTGTCTTCGCGCTCGGGCCAGGCGCGGGGGCTCCAGCTGCTGCGGCCGACTCCGGCCGGTGAGTAGGCAGTAGGGGGGTGGGTTTACAGGGTGGAGGTGTCAGCGGCGCTCCCCTTCTCCTCGGTGGGAGTATAGGTCTGGGTTTGCCCGAGTCGGGGAATTCAAAGGGGGAGCTGCGGGAGGGAAGGAAACCCCTTCCATTCTCCCCCAACACCAAGCCCCGAGTCAGCTCCAGGGCCCCCAACCCCTGGAGAAGGGGGCTCTGGCTCCCGGAATTTGGGATGCGGAGACATCCTCCCACGGAGGAGAGGGTGGAGACATGGGCACCCTCCCGCGCCGCCCTCCGTGTGTGTGTGTGTGGTGGGGGGAGGACTGGTCCCACTGCCCCTCCCCATTACCTCCCCCTCCCCCCCAGGCCTTTCTCTCCCAGTGTGTGGCAGGGATTCCCCCGGCCGGCCTTGCTGCAGAGTGGAAGGGAACCCCCTCCTGCCAGCCTACTGTGCGTTTGAGCGCCTGCCCTTTGGAGCTCACGCTCTTCTCTCTTCCCTAAGCTTCTTCTCCTACCCCCACCCCCATTGACAGGGAGAGAGGCCCAGGGAGGGTTAGCACTTAGCCAAGGTCATGCAGCTGGGCAGGAGCAGAGCCGGGTTTGTGGCTCACTAACCTCAGAACCCAGCGGATGGTGTCAGCTCTAGGGTCCTCCGCTCCCTGCATTTAACCACAGGTGTGAGGGCCCTGTCTGGGGACCCTGGAACTGGAGGAGGGTTTCTCTCACTCTCCCCAAGTCTCTCCGCCCTGCTAGAGGCCCAGACAGGAGTGAATGGGGAAGCCCCACCACCACCACCTGGCTCCCTCCTTTTGGCTCCGAGGTCCCTCGTGCCCCCTAGCCCCTCTCCCCAAGCCAGCCCAAGACCTTGAAGGAAATCCCTGGGACGTGGGGGGGATTCCAGATGGGCAGGCCGAGCATCGTGAGCCCGTAGAATAATGTCCAGTCTGATTCACCCATCTGCTGGTTGACCTTCTACCATCCCCCTGCCCTACCAGGGCCAGAGTCAACTCCAAAGTCCCCCTGGCTAGAACAGGCAGCCCCTGAGCCATGCAGGCGGCCATTGGCTCCCACCCCAGACGCTGGCAAAAGAAAGGACAGCTGTGATGTTCACAGCCAGCTGAGTTTTCCCTTCAGTCCCATTCTGGGGTCTCCCCCACCCCTCTGCACCATGGGGCTGCCCTGTGTCCCCTTCTGCCCTCTCCTCCAGGGCAAGACGGGCACTGTGGTCATATGGGGATTCTGGAGACAGCCCTGTATAGACAGCGAATACTGTGAGGGAGCTACAGTTCCCAGGGCAGCTGCAGAAAGGGGAGGACTTAGGGGCGGCCAAGAATAGAGCCAGGCAAGCCAGAGGTTCCTGACTCCTTTACCCTCACACCAGCCCCTCTTAGCCTCACCCACCCAGCTCTCCCTGTGGTGAAGGAATTGGTGGGGGCGAGGGGGGGAGAGGAAGAAGACAGGGAGCTGCATGAGGAAAGGCAGATAGAGCGTTCAGTGTCAGGGGAAGGAGGGGGGCCTCCAGGGAGGGGGCCTGGGGGGAATGTATCAGCCGGGGTTCATCAAGGGGCATGCGGGAGGAAACAGGGCTCCACTGGACAGACAACGCCACTGATCCTGAGTTTCCCTAAAACTTACAAGGTAACCCAGCTTGTCAGAGTGTAGATCTGTTCTAAAGACCATGGCCGTCTGGGAGCTGTCCGTCCCCTGCCCTCCTGGGGCCCTGCTCCACCCCACAACCCATGTCTGGTCCTTACAGGTCAAGGGGGAAAGAAAAGCGGCCACAACCCCCTGCCAGCCAAGTGGTAGCCCAGCGGGACTGAAGGGGACAGGCCGTTTGGTGGTGCCTCATCAGGAAGACCCCTGCACCCGAGGGAGGGTGAGTGAATCGCAAACTCAGGTCACATTTGGGGGTCGGGGGCAGGGGGCCAGGAGTTGGATAGAAAAACTGGTGATGTAAGAAAAAAGTGCCAACCTTTGAAACAATACTAATAATTTAATAATAATTATTATTATTATGACTATGCATTCTAGAGCCCCCTGGAGAATCACTGTCCACTTTCTTTGATCACTGGTGGTGGGGAACCTGCTCAGAGAGGCTCGGTGATCCACCCAGAGTCACACAGCCAGAAGGAGGGAGTTGAACTGGGTTGGAGGGACCCTAACCCCCACGGTCCCCACCCCAGATCCCGTGGCCTCACTTCCTGGGGACAACCCTTGGGGAGCAGCTCCTTTGCTGCTTCTTTCTCCTGCAAATGTTGATGGACATTCTGGCATCGGCAGTGAGCTGCCTATGTGAAGAGGACAGAAGTGCCAGTCCCAGATGTGTGGGATCATTTAGTCAAGCAACAAAGACTAAGCAGTTATGGTATGCCGGGCCCGGGACTGGGCACTGGGAACACAGCAAGGACTGAGGCAGGGCCAAATATGCCCTTGTGATATGTGCTGGGAGGAAAATAAAACATGGAGATGTATTAGAGAATGACTGGGGCATAGGGGAGGCTCCTGTAGCTGGGCAGAGGGACCTCTCCAGGGAGCTGACCATGAGCTAAGACCTGAAAGAGGAGGAGTAGCCAGCCAGGCAAGAGCTGGGAGAGCGGCATACCAGGCAGCGGGAACAGCATGTGCAAAGGTCCTGAGGTGGAAAGAAGCTTGGCATGTCTGAGGAACAGTGAGGAGGCTGGTGTGGCTGGAACAGAATGAGCAAGGAGGAAAGTGTGAGGGTAGGGGTGTCTGCAGGAAGGGGCTGAGGTGAAGGAGTGGAATGCAAAACACTGGGGAGCCATGGAGGGTGTGTGAGCAGGGGAGAGACATAGTCTGATTTATGATTCTCAAAAGCCCCTGTGGCTTCCGTGGAGAACAGGGACTATTGGGGGCAGGAGTGGAAGTGACAGAAGGCCAGAGGGGAGGCCAAAAGGGCATCTGAGTAGTCAGCTGGGCCAGGACCAGGGTGGGGTCTCAGGGATACAGAAGAGTGGGCAGATTCTGGGACTGAGCTGGCCATGGAGGATGAACTGTTTGTGGCCAGGTTTCTGCCTCATGCTGAGGGACCATGGGGAGGGAAGGAGGGATTCACTGTGCCTGGGGAAATCTAGGAAGGCATCCTGGAGGAGGTGTTCTTGCTCTTTGAGCTGGGTCTTGAAGGGTGAATAGGAGTTTGCCAGTGGCCAATTGGAGCCATGCCAGGGATCTATCCATACAGATGCTGTGCAGGCCACGGGGAGCCACGGAGCACTAGGAATTAGCAGCAACATGATCATATTTTAGCAAGGAAAGATCCCTGTGGGGGCCTAGCAGAGACTGGACTGGAGCCCGAGGGGTCAGGAAGGAGCTTTTGAAATGGTCCAGGTCATGATCAGGCCAGTAGCAACTGGGAGCATCCAGTCAGCCATCACAGTATGCCTGGCACGTTTAATGGGGATTAGCTCCCTGGCCCCTCCCCCCTGCCCTTGGAGGGTCCTCGTTGCCCTGCTGAGGAAACTGAGGCTCAGAGAGGGACAGTCTGTTGTCCATGACCACTGTATGAGTTTCCAGGGGCTGCTGTAATAAATGACTACAACCTGGGTGGCTTAAGACAGCAGGAATACATTCTCTCACATTTCGGAGGCCAGCAGTCTGAAATCCAGGTGTTGGTGGGACCACACTCCCTCTGAAGGCTCTGGGAGAAGCCTCTTCCAGCCTCTGGTGGCACCAGATGTTCCTTGGATCGTGGCTGCATCACTCCAGTCTCTGCCTCTGTCTTCACGTGGTCTTCTGCCCTGTGTGTGTGTCTGTGTCTTCTCATGTGGTCTTCTTGTAAGAACACCAGTCATCGGATTAGCACCCACCCTAATCCAGTATGACCTCACCTTAATTTAACTACATCTTTCAAAGACCAATAACGTGGCGAAATAAGGTCACATTCTGAGGTCCTGGATGAACTGGAATCTGGGAGAGATACTGTTCAAACCAGAACAGCCATGCAGGAGAGTGCTGTGCTTGACGATCGAGCCTTTGCCCCAGGGCTTATGCCAAGGCAGGGGCTGTAGGGATGGGGACAGAGGGGTGGCCTGGAGCGAATTTAGGTGGACAGGCCTGGGGTCCCATTGGATGTGGGGGACTCTGGGGGGGAAGAGTTAGTCTGGAGCCTTCCAGATCGAGAGTGAGGAGGGAGGGAGGAGAAGTGAAGTGTCTGGAGCAGCGACGCCGCTGCCAGCTGAATGAAAAAGACAGCCCCAGGGCAGGTCCCCAGGTGGATGTGGCAGGGTCTCCCAGACCTCGGCTGCTTGCGGGAACTCCGTGCTAATGACAAAGCCGATTCCCTGCCTGCGTGTCACCCCCAGGCTGCCACCTCCTCCTTCAGAGTAGGGACTGAGGGCTCCTCACTGGGCTGCCCGCGGCGAGGACCAGGGGATGCCAGGCACAGTCCCTTTCCACCCCTCCCTGGCCTCATTTCCGCTGTGAACCATCTGCAAGGGCCAGTTGTATATATTTATTGATTCAAGGTCTTATCTTGCCCACTGGCCCGAAACCGTGAGTTTGGGGGATTTTGTGTGACTTTGTCCACAAGTATCCCCCGCTTGGGGTGCAAACCCTGCCTACAGGAGGTGCTCAATAAATGCCGATAGAATAAATGAAGCTTCTCCAGGTCCCTGTACTGGAGAACCCAGGAACAAGCCCTCTGTGATGCCCGCCCCAGCTGCCCCCGCCCCCCCCCCCGACCTTCCTGTCCCCTTCCTGCCCTCATAGTTCACAGGACACTAGGGGGCTTAACCCTCCAGGAGTTCCGCTCTGCTCAGAGCCCTCCTGCACACAGCCCTGTGAGTGGGACCCCTGCCCGCCTCTGGGACTCGCCCCACCCTGTTTACTCCTTCTCTCGAGCCCCACTGGTCTCCCTTCTCTTCCTCCAGCACACCCTCCTCTGTCTCACCTCAGTACCTTTGCCCTTGCAGTGCCCTCTGCCAGGTGTACCCTTTTCCAGCTCTTCCGGGGTGGCCCCTTGGCCCCTTTCAAATGTTCTCTTTTCCGAGAGGCCTTCCCTGACCACTGTAGTTAAAGGCTCCCCATCCCCATTCCTATTTTTCTCAACTTCATGGGATCCTTTTCCAATGCTTTTGTGTGGAAGCCTTAGTAGTCCTTTACGTGGAGAGGTTTGTTCCCTTTCTCTAGAAGATCAGCTCAAAGAGGAGCAGGTTTGTATCTGTCTCAGACTCCGCATCCCCAGCGCCAGACTTAGAGAAGGAGCTCAGTGGGTATGTGAATGAATGGGTGGATGAATGAATGAATGAATGAATGAGAGAGTGAGTGAATACCTTCCCCACTCTGCTATCCCCACACTCACAGGGGACTCAGGGTCCTGCCTCCTTCCAGGCAGTCATTGGTTAGACCCAGGATGGGTCTGAGATTTCTGTGAATGCGCAGCTTGGGGGTGAGGGGGGAGGTGGCCAGTCTGCCCCTCCTCAGGCCACTGCCTCTGGGTCCTTCAGTTCCTGGGAGGTTCTCCCAGGTCTCCTGCACCCAGACCCATGGCAACTGCCCTGAACTTGTGGCCCAGCCCTTGGGCCCCTGGAGGAGGGGCTCTGTGTTTAGCCTCCACCCCCTCACCAGTCTGTAGGTCATTTTCTGGGGCTGAGTCCTGAGGGCCTCCCAGCTGAAGTTCATTTGCATGTTCCTCAGGTCCCTTCCAGCCGACTGTGGGCTGTTGAGAGGCTGTCTAGAATGGAGACTCGGGTATATCCCATCCAGAGCTTCACTTTCATCCACCCCCTACCTTTGTCCACCAATGCCAGCCTTGTCTCAGAGGGGTGAGATTCAAGCAGATAGCATGGCCAACTTGGGCAGGAGGTGACGGTCACCAGATTGACTGTCAGCTCCTTGAAGAAGGTCCCTGATTCCTCAGGGCAGGTGAGCCCAAAAGGGAAATAGGGATGTTTCCAGGGAGAGAAGGTGGATGCAGAGCCTACAGGGCCTGGGCAGGGTGGGAGGGCTGGAGAAGCCTCTGGGGGCTGTGGCCGATGCTTTTGTGAATTTCTGGATGTTTACCTGTTGGACTTGAATTCAGAAAGCATCAGATGCTGCAGGGACACCCGTAGGCACGGTGAGCATGCTTCTCGTGGGGCAGGAACCCATACGGGGGCAGGCTCAGGCTGTCAGGGGACAGGGCATTGCATGCGGCACAAGGATGTGTGCCAGACCCTGAGAGAGACGTGGGTGGCTCCATCACTGTTGCGCTTTAGAAAGAGCTCCCAGTGGCTCAGGCAAGGGAACAGCAAGTGCAAAGGCCTGGAATGAGCTGAGGGGAGTCTGAGGAGGCCTGGGATGGGGGGCTGGTGAGTGGGTGAGTGGGATGCAGGCTGGAGCAGGGTTGAGAATGCATCCCTTTCGGGTTCCCACAACCCCACTCCTGGATCCCCTGTGGATACAGCAGGGTGGTCCCCAGGCCTCTACTTCCCACCTATTACAGACCTGTGCACTGTCACCATGGCTAGGCCTTCTTCAGGGTGTCCCCGACAGCCTGGGCTAAAGAACAGGCTCTCGAGAGGAGGGAACAGGAGTCCCATCTGCTGACCCCTGGCCATCACCTGGCTGTGCTCAGCCTCACCACCATCACTGCCCCAGGACACTACCCCCTGCCCAAGCAGCTGTCCGCTCATTTATTCATTCAGCTCAGCTATTTTCTGGGTACCGCAGAAGAAACAAAACAGATCAGCTGCCCTCAGGCAGTGATGAGCAATCAGATGTTCCTGACCTGGTCCAAAGCTCAGGGCCAGGAATAAAACAGATGGGGGGCTGGGAGAGAGATGCGGGGAAGCTGCTGCCCCCAGGAGCCCCTGGGCTGGGGAGGACAGAGCCAGACTCAGTCACCCAGGTGACAGGGTGGGGACAGGGTGAGGCTGAGGT